ATACTGTACAGAGGGGTTACAATTACATGGGCAAGATAATGAGTACATTTCTTATCAAGCATTGTAGCCTCCTCCTTTGTTTCCCCTTCTCATCCCATCCTCCCCCTATCCCCCCTAGTATTGGATTTTATGCCTGTTTGTTTTTATATGGGCGATGACCTTAAAAGAGAAGTACATTTTTAAAAATATGATCAGTGATTCAATGAATAAACTACATAGTTTCAAACACACTGTCATTAAAGAAGTGAGGAAAATGTATCCACCCTTAAAAATTGTTTTAAAAATGTTTTCCACTTTACAAACCATTTATTTCAAATATTAGCTGGTATTATTCATTTAAGAGTTGGTTTACAAAATTAATCTTTAGCCAAAGGGGCCAGGGAAATGAATTAGTAAACTAACACTGGAAATGAAGATAAACCAGAAGTGATGGTAAGGACACACTTAAAATTATGTTAATGAGAAAATTGGTTTATTTGAAATATATTAACACAACTCTTTGAAGTAACATTTGTTCTCTGAAATGCGTAAAATAGAAACTAGGATGGATGGAGGAAAGAGAGCGTACTCCCTCTTCTCATGGCCCATCACATAAATCCCCCTAATTCTTAGTTCACAAAATCAATAAAAATAATGTCTTACCCAGTGGCTTCTATTATTGCTGTATTTATGTATTAAGTTATTGCTGCATTTAATTGTTAAATTTGTTCTAAGACTTTCTACTTATGGCACACACACACACACACACACACACAAAATGCATTCGCAGACGCAATCTCATTCTTGTAAGTTTGACCCTTTCTGGTTCTCGTAGAAAGGGGCCATTGCAGCAGCTTGCGAAGCGTCCCCAGGTACCGCGGAAACGAAACTGCACCAGGCTCCGCCCCTGGGTTTGTGGAGTCAGCCAATCAGGGCACAACCCGGGCTGAGCTCGTGCCCAGTGTCATGGCGGCGTGCAAGCAGTGCTGCTCACGCCTCCGGCCTCTGGCAGAGGGGCCCCTTCGTCTGCCAGGGCGGAGTCGGGCACTCAGCTCCTTGCTTGTGCGAGCTCTGTCGTCTAGCGCAGGGTCCCGATCCGTGGCTGTGGACTTAGGCAACAGGTAAGAAGAGCGTGCTCTCCCTCTCTGCACTGTGATCTGGCCGCCGGGTGCACCGGTCTCCCTGGGTTAGAGCCGCAGCCTGTCCCTTTAACCTCTTTGTACCTCAAACCTCAACTCTACATTTCCCTGTCCGGATTGGAGCCGACCCCCGTGGACTCGCTCCCTTCCTACGCTGCTGCCCTGGGCTTCCCGAACCTCCTCCTGCACTCCGAGCTTCCTCTCTCCACCTAGGCTAGTCTGTCCACCTGACAGCCTTTCACTTTACTTTTCGGAGACCCGTGTGCCCCGAAGTGGGAATCATTTCGCCTTGAGATGACCAAGCGTGCGCACGCCATCAAATCCCAGATCCCTTCGTGTGGCCAGTTTGAGCCTGAGTCGGAAGGGTAGGGAAGTGGCAGCTACATCTTTTTAAGCCTGTACGCTGCAGAGGCCCCACTAAAACGTTAGGTAACTTTCTCAAAGCCATCAAAGCTAGCGTTATGGAACTTGATGGACGCTGAATTGGTGTTTCTAGCAAAGCCTGTACTTTTTCTTAGGAGGTTGTCAGTATTCGTGTTAAAAGTAACTTTTTTTTAAGCTTCTATCTAAATCGTTTAAAAATGTAACTACTAATGCACATTTTGTATATCTAAATGTTTAGTGTGCTTTCAATTTTTTTGACCCTAGCTCATACCAAAAGCAATAATAATATTTGAGTCCAGGCCTTTCTCCCAGACTTAATGACTTACTGACTCATCTTAAATAAATAACTTTACAGTTTACTTTAGAAAAAGGAGGAGAAGGTAGTCAGTGAAGAGTCTGCAGACTTCTGTAAAATGGTCAGATAGTATTTTTAGGCTTTGTGGACTACATGCTGTCTCTGTTACATATTGGTGACGGAGTGTGTGTTAAAAAAAAAAACCTTAAGTATAGGAGTGTTCTTAGTTGAAGAACTGCAAGAAATATGCCATAAGGCTGTCAGTTTAGCATATTCAAGAACTACACATTCTTTTTTTTTTTTGGTCGGTCGTGGGGCTTGAACTCTGGGCTTGGGCGCTGTCTCTCAGCTTTTCAGATCAAAGCGAGCGCTCTACCACTTGAGCCACAGCGCCACTTCCGGTTTCCTGCCCGGGCTGGCTTTGAACCGCGATCCTCAGATCTCTGTCTCCTGAGTAGCTAGGATGACAGGCGTGAGCCACGGGCACCTGGCCTAAGAACTACACATTCTTGTCTGGAAAAAAAAAATCATTCCAAGACATTTTATTCAAAAGACACTAAAGGCAATAAAATGCTTCTCCTGCCCTCCATATTTTTCACAAGTAATCTGCTTTGACTCTTCATTAATTAATCTGGACTTCTTTTATAGATACTCTCCTTGTGTCAAATAAGATTCGTAAATATCTGACCTGTTGATAAAGCAATCCGTCTTTGCCTTAAGTTTGTCATTTGTAACATTTATTAAGTATGACAGGCATTATATCTGTTACAGTTCTTTATACACCCTGGTAGATTCTGATAGTTATTTTCCAGATAGTATATTCAGTGTTACAGTGGTCTTTGAGGCAAGTGTTTAATTTTTACTTAAGCCTCCCTTCAGCACCTGTCATATGCAAAGCACTAGAGTTAATCAGGTCTGACAAAGGAAATAAACACATATTCAGCTGCAGGAAAAATTACGCTGAGAAAGATGTGGACATGACACTAAAGGAACACAAATATTTACCTGCAGCTTTCAATTAGTGGTAAATCTTAATCATAGGGCTTTTCTCATTTGAGGGAGACTATAGATAATGCTACTATGAAATTTCATGTACAAGTTTTCTTCTTTACCATATACAAGTTTTTATGTGAACATATGTTTTCATTTCCTTGAATTTTTACCTAAGATGAAATTGCTAGGTCACAAAGTAAATTTAATCCTAATTTAATCTTTTTCAGTTACTACCAGATTATTTCCTTAAGTACTATTTTATATTCCCCCAACCATATATGATGGTTGTGTATCATCAGCACTAGCCTTGACTGAATTTTGTGAAGTTAAGCTCTTAAAATAGAACATCTTCCTCAGTGTCTTCAGGCACCACCATCTTGGTTTGGCCTCATAACATTCTTTGTTTTGCTGATCTGTTTCAGTACCTCAGCAACCACTTTTGCCATTTGCCACAGAAACAGAAATAAGGCTCATATAGATCAGCTTGATATATATAATTCACATGCCATACAATTTAAAGTGTATAATTCAGCAGTTTTCAGTTGTATAGTATTCAGAATTTCGCAGCCATTACCACCACCCATTTTAGAACAGTTCTACACACACACACACACACACACTAACCTTGTACCTATTAGGGGTCACTTAACTGTTTCACCCTAGACTACAACTAATCTTTTCCCCCCTAGTCCTGGGGCTTGAACTCTGGGTCTGGGCTGTACCCCTTAGCTGCTTTTGCTCAAGGCTAACACTCTACCACTTAAGCTACAAATCACCACTTCCAGCTTATTCTGAGTAGTTTATTGGCAACAAGGTCTAGGATCCATTCTGAGTTTTTATTTTTGTATAAAAAACTCCCAGTATTTTTTGGGGGGTCAGGGGGATGGGTCATGGGGCTTGAACTATGGGCCTGGACACTGTCCTTCAGCTCTTCAGCTCAAGGCAAGCACTCTACCACTTGAGCCACTACGCCAGTGCGATAAGTGTCTCACGGACTTTCCAACTCGTGCTGGTTTTGATCAGCAATCCTCAGATGCTCAGCCTCCTGAGTAGCTAGGATTACTAGCGTGAGCCACTGGCACCTGGCTCCAGTATTTTTTGTACAACTGGATTCCCAGTCATCCCAATACTATTGATTGAAAGATAATTCATTCACTATTAAATTGACTTGGCACTACTGACAAAAATGAAAGTCTTTGTAGGCAGTTTATATTTTGTCTTGAAAGTAGTAGGGAAACTTTAAAGATTTTAAATGGGGAAATGATCCAGTTAGAGTACTAAAAAGACTACTGTAGTCAACAAGGTAGGGAGTGACAAGAGACTGAGCAGAGGCAATAAATGGGAATTAATGTTTCAGAAGGCAGTTTCTTTCTCTCTAGAAATAATCTATGTCTAATCTAAATTATTTTTGTACCTAGGTTTTTATCTTGTTATGCTACAAAATTAAATTCCCTTGTACTTTTGATTATGAATTCTATCTGTTGCTGAGGGAGAAAGGCATGTAAGGCTTGATAGCCTTTAGTTTCTTATTAAAAATAAAAACTTAGATTGTGTGTACTAATATGAGAATTGTACTGATGTCGTTTTGTTTTGAATTTTTGTTTATCAACAGAAAATTAGAACTATCCTCTGGAAAACTGGCAAGGTTTGCAGATGGCTGTGCTGTGGTACAGGTAAAATGTCCAGGTTTTAGAGTTTTTAACTCCCATGTCCTGCATGGGGATTAGGAAATGATTCTCTTCTCCATTTTTCTCTACTTTAACCCCATTCTATTCCTCCCCACTTTAAACCTGTTAAATTGAAATAAATCCTTCCTAAAACTTAAAAAAAAGTTCAAATTTTATTTTTTGTTTCATTTTTATTTTTTGCCAGTCCTAGGGCTTGAATTCTGTGCCTAGCCACTGTCGCTGAGCTTCTTTTGCTCAAGGCTAGTGCTCTACCACTTGAGCCACAGTGCCATTTCTGGCTTTTTCTGTTTATATGGTACTGAGGAATTGAACCCAGTGCTTCATGCATGCTAGGCAAGTACCACTAAGCCTATTCCCATCCTTAAATTTTTTTATCTTAAAAATCAGTTATGGGAACCAATATTAACTAACATAACTTAGAAATATTGTAGTGGTATTTAATTCAGATACTAAGATTATTTCTAGCACCTGAACCATTCCAAATCATTGGGGAGTTTGAAAGTTGGATATGTTAAAAGATCTCTTTTAAACTTGGGCTTTTAGCAGAAAAAGCTGGAAGTGGGGCTGAGGCTCAAGTGGTAGAGCACTAGTCTACAGTCTACAGCTGAAGAGCTGAGGGACAGTGCCCAGGCTCAGAGTTCAGGCCCCAAAACCGACAAAAAAAAAGAAACAAACAAACAAACTTAGGCTTTCGTTTTATTCTGTTAATAAAATCTGTTTTGTGCTTTTCTAAAAAAAATTATTTCATTCTCTTCAGTAGTAATACTTGGGAAATTTTTATTATATAAAATCTAAATTTCCTCATTAGAAGTAGAAAATAAGCTGAGTGCAAGTGGCTCACACTTGTAATCTTGACACTTAGAAAACTGAGATCTAAAGATTGTGGTTTGAAGCCAGCTGGGGCAGAAAAGTCCATGAGACTCTTACCTCAAAATAACCAGCAAAAAGCCAGAAGTAGAAGCATGGCTCAAGTGGTAGAGTACCAGTCTTGAGTGAAAAAGCTGAATGAAGCCAGGTGCAAGTGGCTCATATCTGTTATCCTAGCTACTCAGGAAGCTGAGATATGATGATCACAGTTCAAAGCCAGCTGGAGCAGGAAAGTCTGTGAGACTCTTGTCTCCAATTAACCACAGAAAACCTTAAGTGGCACTGTGGCTCAAGTGGTAGAGTGCTTGCCTTGAGCTGAAGAGCTCAGGGACTGACCAAAAAAATAAAAGCTGAATGAGAGCAGAAGGCTCTGAGTTCAAGCACACACACACACACACACACACAAAACCAGGGACTGTGTAGGCCTGGAGTTCAATCCCCATGACTGACCAAACAAATAAAAGCTGAATGAGAGCAGAAGGCTCTGAGTTCAAGCGCACACACACACGCCACACACCCCCCCCCCACACACACACGCCACCCCACAACCCCAACCAGGGCTGTTTTTAAAGTAGAAGGTATGACTCAGCTATCAGTGAGCCTTTTCTTGTGTAAAATTCAGTGATCATTTAGAAAAGGGATCAAGAGTAGACTACTTGTGAATTATTAAGTTTCATTATAATCACATGGAATAAATCTCTTTTCTTGAGCTTAATTAGAGTGAGAATTCATTCGCTCAGTTGCTATTATATGTACATGTCTGATTTGAACAACATTTACTGATATGGTTGTTTATGTTTAAGTCAGGTGACACTGCAGTGATGGTTACAGCAGTCAGTAAAACAAAACCTTCACCTTCCCAATTCATGCCTTTGGTAGTAAGTATTTGCTGATTTATCTGAACCTATACTGTAGCAATATGTAGAATTTATAATATTTTTGTCTAGTGTCTTATGAATGCATGTAAATTTTGTACAAGAAAGGATTTTCCTGAACTTTTAATGTCCTGAGACATTAAAAGAATGTAAACTGGGCTGGGAAGGTGTCTCAGTGGTAGAGTGCTTGCCTTGCATGCATGAGGCCCTGGGTTCGATTCCTCAGCACCACATAAGCAAAAAGAAAAAAAGCTGGAAGTGGCACTGTGGCTCAAGTGGTAGAGCGCTAGCCTTGAGCTGAAGAGCTGAGGGACAGCGCCCAGGCCCAGAGTTCAGGCCCCACGACTGGACCCAAAAAAAAAAAAAAAAAAGAATGTAAACTAACTTCTCATGCTAATAGTATGCATACTTTAGAATGCCCATGTATACAAATTAACAAGTCAGTGTGAAATATATAATTACTTTGGTGCTGAATAAGCAATGAGTTCATGCCTTCATGGGTTTCTCTTCAGTATGAATCAACTATATGTTAAATGAAGAATTTATTAGGATTATATGGGTTCTTTCTTAGGATCATATGAAGTTATATCTAACAGTTTCAAAACAGCCAATGAAGTTATATCTGAAAGAGTTAATTCAAAAAAGACTTGATCAGAGTAAGCTAATGTGGGAAATTAGTGAGGCTAAAAAAAACATCTGACTATATAATTACAGGCTTTTAAAAATGAATTGGCTAAACATCTTTTTACAAACTCTCCTTCCTCTGAGAGATATAAAATGCTAAAATTAAATTGTCCTCTATCATCATCTAGAAGATGTTATTAATAGCATTAGGAAAAATACTGTTTGTGTAGTGGTCCTAGGGATATAGTTTGTTACTAAAACAAATCATACAAACTTCATTTTTTTCATGCTACTTCAGGTTGACTACAGACAGAAGGCTGCTGCAGCTGGTAGAATTCCTACAAACTACCTTAGAAGAGAGCTTGGATCTTCTGATAAAGAAATTCTTACAAGTCGAGTAATAGGTAAGATATTAACATAGAGGCTTTATCTTCTACAATATGCCAGTGTTAGCATCTCTTCTTTACCACCTGTGTTCTTCAGTGTCTCCTGAATCTTCATTCATTGCATGAATGCCATTGGACATTAGTAAACTCTTTTCCCTCTCTCAAAGCTGGGATCCCTGAGACCAAAAACTTTTCTTTCTTCATTGACAAATCTCCGTATCTTGTATACTATACAGTATATACATATACTGTATATTTACTGTATATACATGTAAATACATCTCGACTGAATTAATCTCTGTTGACATTAATTCCATGGCCAGTGCTCTAATATTTTCATTTTTATGTTCAGTATAATACCTAAAAACATTGTATCTATCAACTATTAAATTAGGTGTCTAATCTTTTGTGGAGGGGAAAGAGGGAGGGAAGATTTGATATAGTAATGGAGATTAAACCTAGTCCTTCCCTAAACAAGCTGTCTGTTCCACCATGTTATATCCATAGCCCAGAAATATTCCAAATCTTTTTTCCTTGTTTTGGCACTAGTAGGAATTGAATTCAGGATCTTGGCGCCTGCTAGGCAGGTGCTCTACCAGTTGGACCATGCCTCAGCCTCTTTATTCCATTGGTTGTATTATAGGTAGGCTTATCACTTTATGCCATCAGCCTGGGCTGTGCTTCTTCTACTTGCACTTTACTGTGTGGCTGGAGATAACAAGAGCACACACCACTGCACCCAGCTATTGGTTGAAATGGATTCTGTTGAACTTTTGTGGCTGACCTCAAACCTTGATCTGTCATCTCCACCTCCCAAGTAGCTAGAATTATGGGCTTATCCAACACACCTGACTACTCTTCCAAATCTTTGCCATCCATAAATATTGTGGGACTATTTGTAGTTCATAGCTCTTCTACCAAGAAGTGGCTAATTTGTGTATATTTATATGTATTCATCAGAAACAAAATACCAAGCAAACATTTTTTGGGGGTCTGCTGTTAGTCTTAAGTTTCTTTCCTCTGCTTTGTTACTAAGTCATGATATGTATTAATTGAAGCATTGATATCACTCTTTCAAATAAGGCTGACATTTCTGTTTGTTTGGTTGATTGGTTTGTTTGTCTTTTGACATGCTAAACCACTAGTTTTATTCAAATGTTCTGAACTGTAAAGCTACTCTGTCTGAATTGTACAGTATCTTTTTCTTTCTTTAACAGATCGTTCAATTAGACCTCTTTTTCCAGCTGGCTATTTTTATGATACCCAGGTAAGTTCTACTTCATTTACAGATAATTTACTTAAACTCTGCAATTCTTTCTAGGCTAAACATTGTAAAGAACTGTGGTGATGCTATTATATTTTACTTTAAGTCATTTATAAAAGATAATACTTGTAAAAAGCTAACATTGATTCATGCCAATTTGATCTGACACTCAGTAGGAGTGAGCTGACCAAGAGTGTTAGAAGCAGCCCACATTCCATATAGATGGAATGTGAAGCAATAAAACCTTGAGGCAGGAAAGAAATGGATAAGTTTGAAAGAAGGTCAGTGTGTTTGATCTACTGTGGATCAGATCAGATGGGTGGACCTTGAATAAATAAAGACTAGGACAATCAACACAACCAGTTTTTATTATCTGCCTTTATTACTGGATCCTCAAGCCTCTTAATTATAGTTAATACTTTGAGTCCATTCTCTTAGTGTAATGATTCATATGCTCTAAATAAGTATATGTAAATAACCGTTTTATTTGTTTGCAATAAATATTCCTTGAAAACATATCTTTACAAGATGGCATAACCTCAAGGAAAGTATTCTCTTACAAAATAGAGGGGCAGGCAATGGTGATCACTTCTGTAATTCTAGCTACTGCAAGGCTGAGATTGGGAAGATTGAAAAGATGGCTGAAACCCTTTCTCAAAGGAAAGCTGGACACATTGGCACAGTCCTGTTATCCTAGCTGTAAAGAGGAAACCTAACATAGGTGGCTCATGACCAGGCACATGCCTGGGCCCAAAGTGAGATATCTCACTTTGGGAAACAAAACAAAATAGGGTTGAAGGAGTGGCTTAGCAATAAAAGCATGTGTCTAGCAAGCATGAGGCACTGAGTTCAAATCCTGGTACTACCAAGAAGAGAAAAGAATCAAACATAAGCACATTATTCACAATTGTAGTATAAAGTAACTCACTAGTTTGTTTCGTGATTACTTATAAAAGGAAAATAGAAAAGCACGCCTAACATATACTGAATACTTACCACCTGCCTAGTATTGTAGTAAGTGTTTTACACACAATTTTTTTTAGTTCTTATAAAGATAAGAGAATTTCCCTGGGTGCACAGTTTATACCAATAACCTAAGCTATATAGGAGGCAGAGGTCAAGAAGATCACAACTTGAGGCCAGCCTGGACCAAAACTTGAGACCTTATCTGAAAAATAAGCAGAAAAGGAAAGGAGCATAGCTCAAGTGGTGGAGCACCTGCCTAGTAAGCATGAGACCCTGAGTTTAGATCTCCTATATTAATTTTTATTTAATATAGAAACTTTGAGGGCATATTAAATGACAACTCAAATCAGAGGGTTTGGCTACAAAGCCCACGCTATGAGCCATACAGTACTCCTATATTTTAGCCCACATTGTTAACCTAAATTATAATCCTCCCAAATAAAGTAGATTTTTTTAAGTGCTTTCAATTTTTTTTCCTTGTACTAGGTCCTTTGTAATTTGTTAGCAGTAGATGGTATTAATGAACCTGATGTTCTAGCAATTAATGGAGGTAAGTATGAATATCAAGATGAAAATTATCACTGATGGGGGTGGGAAGGTGGCTCAGTGGTAGAGCACTTGCCTTGCATGCATGAGGCCCTGGGTTCAATTCCTCAGCACCACATAAGGCAGAAGTGGCACTGTGGCTCACGTGGTGGAGCGCTAGCCTTGAGCTGAAGAGCTGAGGGCCAGCGCCCAGGCCCAGAGTTCAGGCCCGTGACCGACAAAAAAATAAATAAAATTATCATTGTTGATTTTTCTAAAAGCAATTAAATATTTAATTTCAGTTCTTTTTCCCTCCCTTTTTTAAAGCTTCTGCAGCCCTCTCATTATCAGATATTCCATGGAATGGACCTATTGGTAAGTTAACTTGAAAATTAAAACAAGTATTAGGTTCTTCAGTAAAAATAATGAGCATGTTATTATAACAAGAACATAGATTGGCTCTGACAGTCTTTAGGGAGTTGAACTAGATGGCATTCTAAGATCCCTTGCAGGTCTTTTAAAAATGCTTTCATCTTTGCCTTGGGTTTGGTTTCTAATAGTATGTTTTTGTTTGTTTGTTTGTTTGTTTTTTATTGTGAGAATACTGTACAGAGGAGTTACAATTACATAGGCAAGATAACAAGTACATTTTTTATTAAGCATTGTTGCCTCTTCGTTGTTTCCCCTTCCCATCCCTTCCCATACTCCTCCCCTCCCCCCACCAAAGTTATTAAGTTCGTTTTTCGACATAACGACTTGTACATTCTAATAGTATGTTTGAATGCTATACATATTTTATTCTTTGATACTTTGACTCTCTATTTTGTACTGGGAAATTATCGGAATATACACTCTTTAGGATAAAACAAGTACATGTTGTAACTTACAGAGCCTATAAGTTGTACTCATACAATACATAAGTAAATAATTATCCAGTGTCCAAAATGCTAACTATATATAAGGCTGAGTTCTGGAGGAATAAAGGTAAACTACATGTTAGCAATATAGAGATTAAAGAGGTAGTTCTTGCTTTCAGCATAAGTTAGGGCATGAAACAGATATTAATTTACAAAAGTGTTATAGGCATAGTCGAGATGCTAAGAAAATGAGAAGTACAGGTTTAGTTTTGTGGGTCCAGGTTGTCAAGAACAGCTTCTCAAAGAAACGAGAGTACAGCTGCACCTTAGTAGGATCAGATGTAAGAATCTGCTCTGAAAGTGTATTGCATAGACAAGACAAGTGGAGCATAGATAAAGAGGTGTGACAGATGGTATACTTGTACAGTTTGGAGTGGTCCATTGCATCTGGAGAGTTACAAAGACTATTCTGTGGGCCTTAACCCAAAGACAAATGGAGAAATAGGAACTTTATTCTTTTGTTACAAAGCTGAAAGATTAAAGCTACAGCTTGAATAATATGAAAACTGGAAGTTTTAAGCAATTGCTGATATTTCATATATCATAGGGGCTGTACGAATAGGAATGATTGATGGAGAATGTGTTGTTAACCCAACAAGAAAAGAAATGTCTTCTAGTACTTTAAATTTAGTGGTTGCTGGAGCACCTAAAAGTCAGATTGGTAAGTAGTTTAAATATCACATGCAAGTTCTAGCTTTTTAAAAATGCATTTAAACTTAAGCATATGTTTTGTCACTAGTTTTAAAGATGTTTGCTTTGCTTTATCTCATGTTTTGGCAGTGCCCTTCATAACAGGTTATGCCTAATATTATAGAATAATGCATAATTTTAATTGAGATACTCAGTGTTATTTGTTTAAATATTTTATCTGATTAATTATTATAAGCCTGGTTTTTGAGTTCTATCTCATAGTATTTATACTGTGGGAAAATATCACATGTAGAGATGGTATTCTGCTAAGATTTAGGGGAAACCATAAATAGGTTTAATGCCATGTTATATTTTAGTATCTTGAAAAGAGACGTGCAACTCAAGTTTAATACTTCATTGTTCTAGTTCTTTGAAGATGAACATCAAGGTTTTCAAAGTGCCCAGAATATATCATGCAAAACAACATTGCTACATAACTGTAATTTTTTGTTGCTGTTGTTTAAATAGTCATGCTGGAAGCTTCTGCAGAAAACATCTTACAGCAGGATTTTTGCCATGCTGTCAAGGTGGGAGTAAAATATACCCAACAAATAATCCAGGGCATCCAGCAGTTGGTGAAAGAAGTTGGTGTTACCAAGAGGACACCTCAGAAGTTATCTACCCCTTCACCAGAGATTGTGAAGCATGCTCACAAGTAAGATTCATGGGAGAACTGACCATGTATTACTTTGTAGATGGCAGTGTTTTAAAGTATTGTCAAAAATATGCAAGAAATATATCACAAATGTGACTTTAAAAAGGATAAACCAACCCATGCCTCTCTTTCACAGCATAATTGTGAAACTCAAAGGGATAGATAATTATTGGTTGTAATTAGATCATTTCTGTATCTTGTACAAGAATAAAGCATTAAGATATTTGCATATCTAAGGAGACCCTTGAATTTCTCAAAAAGAAATTTAAGTATAACCACCATTATATGCTCAGTGCTTAGAACACTGCCTAGCACATAGGCAAGCACTCATTAAAAATGAATGACTCTAAGGTGGAGTTAAGTGAATACATTAGAGATAAGAAAAAGGAAGGCCACAGTACCATGTGTGATTTTTCCTTAAGAAATGGAAAGAAATACACTTGTGTACTATATTACAAGTAGTAAAAGGTTAGTAGTGATAAAGAGCAGCATATATATTATGCTTTATGAAATTATTCAATTTATACTTTATTACTACTGGATATTTGCCTTGTTTACAATAAAAGTTGCCTCGTGTTTCAAATATTTTTATGCTAACATTATTTGTACTTAAAATAGACTTGCCATGGAGAAACTCTATACAGTTTTCACAGATTATGAACATGATAAGGTAGGTATACTTAAAGATTATCTTATATAACTGTTCCAGAATTACTTTTTGTCATTATTAGTGTAGTTTTGTGTATGAATATTAGTCTTGTGTTTATATTAATCTCAAGACAGGATTGGGATGTAGCTTGGTGGTAGTACACTTGCCTAGGATGCACAAGGCCCTAATTCAATCCCCATCTCCTAGGGTAGGAGTGGTGTGGGATGGGGTGTTAGAACTTAACCTAAAAGCTTTCCTGTTTGCTTATCTATTATACTTTGTTTAAATAATAAAATGAATACTTGTTTTTATTTTTATTTATTTTGGTGTGTGTGTCAGTTCTGGGGGCTTGCACTGAGGGCCTGGGTGCTGTCCCTGAGACTTTCCTGCCCTGGCTGACTTCAAACTGCAAATCTCAAGGTTGTTAATCCTGGGTAGCTAGAATTATAGGTATGAGCCAACAGCAACCAGCACTAATACATATTTGAGTGAATCAGGCAGATTTTTTTTTTGTAAATTAATAATGAGTTCTGATCTTTTAAAGAATGTTAATACTGCAAAAATTGAAGTATTCTTACAATGGGTTAAATATAACAAAATAGGAATGTGAAATGTCATATGTATATATATTAACTAATCCTTAATTTTGTTTTAGATCTCCAGAGATGAAACTGTTAACAAAATTAGATTAGATACAGAGGAACAACTAAAAGGTAAATTCTTTTTTGTTGTTTTGTTTAGTTTAAAAAAAAAATTGCGGGCTGGGAAGGTGGCTCAGTGGTAGAGTGCTTGCTGCATGCCTGAGGCCCTGGGTTCGATTCCTCAGCACCACATAAGCAAAAAGAAAAAAGCCGGAAGTGGCGCTGTGGCTCAAGTGGTAGAGCGCTAGCCTTGAGCTGAAGAGCTGAGGGACAGCGCTCAGGCCCAGAGTTCAGGACCCATGACCAGACCCCCCCCCAAAAAAAAAAAAATTGAGCCAGGCATCCGTTGGCTCACTCCTGTAATACTAGCTACTCAGGAGGCTGAGATCTGAGGATCACGGTTCAAATCCAGCCCTGGCAGGAAAGTTCATGAGACTCTTATCTCCAATAAACCACTCAGAAAACCAGAAGTGGCGCTGTGGCTCAAGTGGTAGAGTGCTCACCTTGAGCTGAAGTGCTGAGGGATAGTGCCCAGGACCAGAGTTCAAGCCCCATGACCAATACAAAAAAAAAAGTTGAAAGGAAAAAAATTTTTTATTTCAATTGTAAAGCCTCTAAGAAATCCACTGGTCCAATTGCTCCTCAGATTTCTCTTAAGTAAATTTGTGATACTGATATATTACCAGGATCCATTTCTTATGTTCAGATTACTTAAAAGTTATATATTGTTGAATAAATCCAACACTTGAAAGAACACACTAACTTGGCATAAATTAATTGATATGGTGAAATAACATCACATTTAAAAGCAAGAGCCTTTGAAGCAGCTAGGTCTGTGCTCAAGTCAAACTGTCCTATTTCCTATCTATCTGTGTGCTCTGTGAGTGCAGGACTGTTACTTTCTCGTTTGTAGTAAAGGGGATTAAGTCCATGGCTTTGTGTATATTAGGCAAATGCTGTAACATTGAGCTACACCTATAGCCCCATTTTACTTCAAGCCTCAGTTTTTTTCTCCTGTAGGTTAGAAATTAAAACAATTTTCCTCATAAATTTTTATAAAGATCAAATGAAGCCAGGCACTGGTGGCTCATGCTTGTACTCTTAGCTACTCAGGAGCTGAGATCTGAGGATTGTGGTTCAAAGCCAGCCCAGGCAGGAAAGTCTGTGAGATTCTTATCTCCAATAAATCACTCAGAAAACCAGAAATGGCACTGTGGCTTAAGTGGTAGAGCGCTAGCCTTGAGCTGAAGAGTTGAGGGACAGAGTTCAAGCCCAACAACCGACCAAAAAAAAAAAAAAAAAAGATCAAAGAAATTAAGAAATAAATCTGTGAAGTGCCTAGTTCCTGAAAGCATTTCATAAATGTTAGCTTAAAATCATTTGGTAGAGGGCTGGGAAGGAGGCTCAGTGGTAGAGTGCTTGCCTTACATGCATGAGGACCTGCGTTTAATTCCTCAGCAAAACATAAGCAGAAGTGGCCGTGTGGCTCAAGTGCTAGGGCTCTTGCTGAGGGACAGCGCCCAGGCCCAGAGTAAGGCCCCACGACCAACAAAAAAAGAATCATTCCGTAGAGATTTGTAATGTGTTAAAACAAACACACACACACAAAACTTTCCCCAATTTGCAGATTTGAATAAAAGTTCCCAAAGCAAAAGAATGTCAGCTCTTATCAGTAAAATAGGAGCTGATTGCAAAGCATTCTTATTCTGGTAAAAAGTAAACTAAATTCTTAGTAATAACTTGATGTATTCAATATTTGACATGTCTCAGTTGCTTAAGAACAGTTCATCTACTTTATTTGCCGGAGGACTAAATGTTCAAAGTCAACTCCTTTGATTTACTTCTGTAACTTTAGGGAAATCCTATTGTCCACAAAGAAAAAAAAAATCCTTCATTTTGCTTTGTCTCTTTCTCTAGAAAAATTTCCAGATGTCGACCCATATGAAATAATAGAATCCTTCAATATTGTTGCAAAGGAAGTTTTTAGAAGTATTATTTTGAATGAATACAAAAGGTAAACATTTTTTGTATACTTGAAGTTTGTGTACTCTCTGCAAGTTGCAGAGTGACAACTTGCTCAAAGGGAAGAAAGTGGTTTTTAAGTGAAAAGTGAGCAATTATATTTTATAAATGGATACCCACTGAAGAAAGAATATGTAGATTGTATGGATTTAAGTTTCTCTCTAAAGCCTTGTGTGTAGAATGATGCAGCCATGACTACACATCAAAATTACCTTCAGAGAGTTTAGCAACACCAGTACTCTGATTCAGTGGTTCTTAGGGTATAAATAATGATATATATATATATCATATATATATATATATATATATATATATATATATATCAGTTTTTCAAGTTCTAGAAGGAATTATGATATAAAGCTAGAATTTTAAGAACTTCCTAGTAAAGAATATGTGATTTTTCCAACTTTAACATGGTTTTGACACTTTTTTCCTTTATTATTATAGGTGTGATGGACGAGATTTGACTTCACTTAGGAATATAAGTTGTGAGGTAGATATGTTTAAAACTCTTCATGGATCAGCATTATTTCAAAGGGGACAAACACAGGTAATATGTGTAAAAAGTTACAATTGTTTAATTATGTGATGCCAAAGGTTTTATCATATGGAATGTATTGTTTATTCAGGAAAATATCAGATTTTTTCATGTAATTTTAACTTTGTTTTTGAGGTCTAAATTTCTACATAATTATATATTTAAAGTGATTTAGTAATTTGACAAGCTTTTTTCATTTATAAAAATGTGAAGCTGGGGCTGGGAAGGTGGCTCAGTGGTAGAGCACTTGCCTTGCATGCTCAAGGCCCTGGGTTCAATTCCTCAGCACCACATAAGAAGAAAGCCGGAAGTGGCGCTGTGGCTCAAGTGGTAGAGCGCGAGCCTTGAGCTGAAGAGCTGAGGGACAGCGCCTAGGCCCAGAGTTCAGGCCCCACGACCGGACCCAAAAAATAAAATAAAATAAAAATAAAAAATGTGAAGCTGTTACCTTAATCAAGAAAACAAACAATACAATCACCCCTAAATGTCTTTTTTGTTGTTGTTGTTGTTGGGGTCGCCGGACTTAAACTCTGGGCCTGGGCACTATCCCTCAGCTCTTCAGCTCAAGACTAGCACTCTACCACTTGAGCCACAGCACCACTTCCCATTTTCAGGTGGTTTATTGGAGATAAGAGTCTCACAAACTTGCCTTCACAGGCTGCTTTGACCCTCAATCCTCATATCTCAACCTCCTGAGTAGCTAGGATTACAGGAATGAGCCACCAATGCACAGCTTCTATTTTTTAATAAAGTAGTTGTACAAGGAGGTTACAGTTCCATATATGAGGTCTGAGTACAACTCATCTTGATCAATACCCCCACCTTCCATCATAAATTTTTCTATTCCCTTCAATTTATCACGTATATCATTGTTGGTCTATTCATGGTCCTTGTCTTCTCCAGTTAGCCTGAACCTCAGTTCTATTCACTTTCTTTTCATAGGTATGCACTCACTGGTATTTCATACACATTCTTCTAGTTTATCTTTTGCTCATGTTTACCAACACCAGAACCTATTAATCAGTGTATAATGTTATTCCTTATACCTCTTTCACTATTTAATTTTGACAGTCTGATAGGAACAAAGTTGTATCTCATTGCTTTAATTTGTATTACCAGTGAGGTAGAAGATCTCATTAGAAAAAGCTGATGAAGCCAGGCACTGGTGATTCAGACTTATAATCCTAGCTACTTGGGAAGCTGAGATCTGAGGATCGCAGTTCAAAGCCAGCCTGGTCAGGAAAGTCCATAAGACTCTTAGCTCCAATTAACCACCAGAAAACAGAAGTGGAGCTATGGCTCAAAATGGTAGAGTGCTAGTCTTGAGTACAAAAGCTCAAGGACAGCACCCAGGCCCTCCCTGAATTCAAGCCTCCCAAAAAGGCAGATGAACAATGATTCTTTATAAACATACCTTCGGAGACCAGAAACCTCTAGGGCATTTTTTCACACAGACAGTTGTATAATCTGGTAACTCTGGGGACAAGTGTACTCTTTGTGAAATTTCTGTCCATATCCTTGGATTAGCTTTTTGTATTTTTTTTCTATCTCTATCATAGTTTAATATGTTCTCACTGCCATTTTGGAATCTTTTTTTTTGTGTTAGTCCTTTTCAGTAACAAATTTCCATCTTTGTTGTTTACCTCTAAGCTTTGTCTATAATAGAGTTTAATATATGTAGAATAAACTTGAAATCTTTAGTTTTGATCCCCTTTTTCACTTTTATGAACTTTAGAACTTGGGAGGGAGGGGAATCCAGTGAGGGAAAAGGGGAGAAAATAAGGGAGGGAGTAACAGTGTTCAAAAAGAAATGTACTCATTAACCTACTACGTAACTGTAACCCTTCTGTACATCACCTTCACAATAAAATTTAAATTTAAAAAGAAATGAACCATTCCTTAATATTCATATCCAAGTCACTAATAATGTTACTATGTTATCTGATAACTTGTTATCTGAGGATCTGATAACATCAGGTACAGTAACAACTTTATTAAGTTATCTAGTAACATAATATCATAATGCCTTCAGTATTAACCTATGATCTTCTGACAGATTGTTATATTTTTAATCTAAAAGCATTTTAGCCTTCAATGATTCTTTTTTCTGTGTACAGAATTTTGGATAGATTTTTTTTTTCTTTTAACATCTTAAAGATGTCATGATGATTTTCTTCTGTTAAGGATTTATTCAAATATTTTTTTTCATGAGAGTGCTGTCAAGATTTTCTCTTCTTTGGTTTTCAGCTGTGTATGAAGGATGTATGGCTGTCTATTGCTTTATCCTGCTTAAAATTTTCTAGATTTGCCGGGTGCTAGCAGCTCAAGCCAGTAATCCTAGTTACTAAAGAAGTTTACATATGGAAGCTTAGATCAAGGTTTCAAGCCTGCCCTTTCAAAAACATTCTCAGAGACTGACTTTATCTCCCCATTAACTAGCAAAACATTGGGCTAGGGGCGTGGCTAAAGTGATAGCACCAGCCAAACAAGTATGAAGCCTTAAATTCAAACCCTGGTACCAGGGGTAAAACAAAAAAGCCAGTTTGGGGGGGGGGGCAGGCACAGTAATTTTAAGCTTGAATAGGCTTGTAATTGCAGCCATTATTTCTTCAAGTATTTTTTTCCCTGCCTCATTCTCTTGTTTTCTCTCTTTCTGTTAGTCTTTTTGTTATTATTCTACCAGTTCTTGAGAATGTGTTTTACCCTCTTAGAAAGATTGAACTCTCTTCTTTCCTCCTTCTCTCTCTTCCTGCAATTCCTTCTGCTTTGTTTTTCTCTTTTTTTTCTTCTGTTTTTGCTGTGCTTAGTTTTTAAACCTAGGGCCACATTCCTATAAGCACTTTACCACTGAGCTACATGCAGAGCTACATGACTCCCTAGTCAATTTCTATTCATCTGTCTTCATATTCATTGACACTTGTCTTCTTTCAAGAATGAGATAATATGTTTCTCCAATTCGTTGATTTGTTTTTATATTCTAGAATATAATTATAATAGCTGTTGAAAGTCTTTGCTAAACAAACATCTCAACTAAGGATCTGTCTTCAGCCATTCTTTGACTTTTCTCTTTAGAGTCTTGTTTCCTATTTCATGTACAGGGTATCCTGGACCTTTGGAGTGATACATTGTACAAATTTTGGTTTACAATACAACTCCCCAAAGAATATTAACTTTTTCTTTAAGGCAGTTTATTGTCTTAAACTGTGGGGAGGGTACATCTAATGAAGTAGTATATAGTTTTCTATGAAAATTTCTTTCTCTTCCTAAGCACTCTTAGTATAATGATTTACTTAACAGTCTATATGATGTCAGAGCTTTTGATTTTTGGGATTATATACAGCTCAAATATTTATAGAATGGATAACTATTTACTGTATTAAGATTATGACTAGAATGTACATAGAGCCATTGTTTAATATTCAGTGCATTATTCAAATATTTTCAGTTTGGAGTGAAAGTGTAGTTCAATGATAGAACTTATGCAATCCCCAGCAACGACAAATATATGGCTTGTGTGTTTTTTATCTTTGTTGTTAGTATATTAGAGTCTAATAACATTTTTTGTTCCTTTCTTTAGGTGCTCTGTACTGTTACATTTGATTCACTAGAATCTAGTATTAAGTCAGATCAAATTATAACAGCTATAAAGTAAGTTATATTTTTATATTTTATGTTGTTTTAGTATATAATTGAAACTCATATGGCATACTATTAGTCATTGTATTATTATTGCCAGTACTGAGATTTGAACTCAGGGATTAACACTTGCTCATCTTTGCTTACTCAGATGGAGCTCTACCACTGTAGCTATGTCTCAGCCCAGCTCTTGCTGGTTGGAGATGGGTTCTTTATTTTGAACTTCAGTCCTCCAGATTTTAGCCTCCTGAGTAGTTAAAATACAGGAGTGATCTGTCAGCACTCAGATCATTATTTTTTTTAGCCTGTATTTCTGAATTTCCATTTCTCTGTTTATATAGTAAGAAGAGGGATTTTTGTGCGTGTGCTATATTACCTTCTATATCTTTGGTTTGTATCACATACTTGTAAAACATTAAATTCTTTCATGTTAATCTTTTTAGATTGTTTTCTGTCTCTAGAACAATTCCTCAAGACTAACTTCCTAAGTTTTTTGTTTGTTTGTTTGTTGCTAGTAGGACCTAGGGCACTATTCCTGAGGTTGTTTTGCTCAAGGCTACCACTTAACCACTTGAGCAACAGCACCACTTCTAGCTGTTTCTGTTTATTTTGGTACTGAGGGATTGAACCCAGGGCTTCATCCATGCTAGCAAGCACTTTTACCACTAAGCTACATTCCCAGCCCTCCCAGGTAATTTTGAGTGGACAGCTTTTCATATTGTAAACAAGAGAACAAATTCATTGGCAAAAGGCTCAGTTGCTAAAATACAATCTTGAGTCTATTAATGAACACCTTTGTCTAATCCTAATCCACGTGTGTGTTTTGTATATAGCTAAATACTTGGTTGTTCTGTCCTATTCCTAAAAAGTCTGCAGGAAAATCATGTTGACAAATTTTAGTTGATCAGTCCCCACCAGCACTGCTGGTACCAGTTTTTTCTTTCCTTAGCATATATTACAACTTCATTCCTTTCCCTGGTTAATGGTCTGAGAACATACTGCCTAACTGATGAGCGTAATCATATTTTCAAGATAGTCACACTGATTTGTTTTTCATGTATCTAATAGATAATGACAATGCAGTAGTGACTCACACTTGTGATCCTAACTATTCAGGAGGCTGAGATCTGAGGATCACAGCTCAAAGCCAACTCCAACAGTAAAGTCTGTGAGATGTTTATCTCCAAGTAAGCACCAAAAATGCTAGAAGTGGAGCATTAACTCAATTTGTAGAGCACTTACCTTGAGCAAAAAAGCTTAGGGACAAAGCCCAGACCCTGGGTTCAAGCCCTGTGGTCAGCAGAAATAAACCAAAAAAAAAAAAAAAAGACTTCTGTTATATCTAATAGTCTTTTAGGTGTTTTTTCTTTGAGGGGGGATGGGGGGAGGGTGACAGGGCAGGAGGTTTTGCTCTTATAGTTTGTCTCTTTTTAAATTATTTATTTATTTACTTTCTTAGTTATTTTGTGTGGCCAGTCCTAGAGCTTGAACTCAGGTCCTGGGCACTGTCCCTGAGCTTCTTTTGCTCAAAGCTAGCACTCTACCACTTGAGCCACAGCGCCACTTCCCACTTTTTCTGTGTATGTGGTGTTGAGGAATCAAATTCAGGGCTTTATGCATACTAGGCAAGCAGTCTACCATCGAGCCACATTCCCAGCCCTCTGTCTCTACTTTTTATTCTGATCTAGACAGAACTTAATAGCTTTGCCCTTCCTTAGACGTTTTTTCTTTTAGAGCTGTATAAGAAAATATAATGAGAAAGAACAGTGAGGCTGTGGAAATAGCTCACTAGTAGAGCGCTTGCCTACCTTGCATAGGGCCTTGGGTTCAATCCCTACAGTCATAAAGCAAAATAACACTGGACTTGATCTTTGATGTTCTTTTCTTGAAAAAAATCAGGTATTGCACCAGAGGTCTTTGTATTCCTCTCAGACTCACAGATCCATGATTCCTTTAGTCTTGGGAAGTAATTTGGCCTTTAAGTTTCTTTTTCCAAAGCTGCAGTTTATGATTTTCAGATTCTGTTCAATTCTAGGACTTTTTTCTAAATTCTCGGCACAAAGAAGTATCTTTTGTATTCAACCCAAATAAATTGCTGTCTTAACACTGTGACCCTCTTGTGTGCCTGTCTTTTCATAGATTTTCACCTGTTTTCTTACCTCTTCTTACTTATTTCTTCCCCTTCTTACTTTTCCACTTTTATAGCAGTTCTCTTTTCAAACCCTAAGAGATTTTTGCCTCTCAGATCTTATGGTTGCTCTCACTCACATGATATCAATGAGTTACAGATCTTTATTTCATATGTTGACATGAGAGAAAGATCATAACAATGAGATTTAATTGTTGTGGTTGCAACATTAGGATTTATTCAGTAGTTATTAGTGCTTAAAAATATATGTCTGCTGAGCCAGGCACCGGTGGCTCATGCCTATAATCCTAGCTACTCAGGAGGCTGAGATCTGAGGACTACAGTTCAAAACCAGCCTGGGCAGGAAAATCTGTGAGACTCTTATCTCCAATTAACCAACAGACAGCAGGAAGTGGTGCTGTGGCTCAGTGATAGAACACTAGCTTTGAGCTGAAGAGCTGAGGGACAGAGCCCAGGCCCAGAGTGCAAGTCCCCTGACTGATTAAAAAAAAAAAATGTGTCCACTGGATATTTAAGATCTTATATTTGAAGCAGGACTGTTTTCCTTAATCTGTATAAAATTCATTCAGAAACCCTGGGAAAAAAAAAACACCATCTCTCAACTACTTGGGAATCTGAGGCAAGAGGATTACTTAAGCCTGGTAGTTCAAGACTTAAGCAACATGGCAAGTCCCTGTCTCAAAACAAAACAAAGAAAACACTTCATTCATTTTCTAATTTCATGTTTTTTGTTTTAGGCCAACTGGCATTAGTACCCAATTGTTTTTTAAAATCCTGTTCTAAGTTTTTAATTGTCTGTATAATAAATTTGTTTATATCCCTATGTTTTTAATATTATGCCTTTCATTTGTAGTGAAATAAAAGATAAAAATTTCATGCTGCACTATGAGGTAAGATGATATGTTTCTCAGCATTTTATTGTGAAAATTTCCTAGAATACAGAAAAATTTAAAGTACTTTACAGTGACTACCATATATAACTAGCTGGGTTCTTCTATCAGTTTATTGCTAGATTCTTTTTTATATATCACTTAAGGTTGCATACAGATGAGATTTAGATAGATAAGTAGATACTTTCTGTTCAATTATTTCCTGTCCCAAGTCATACATAAAAAATAAAGAAAGTGGGCTGGGAAGGTGGCTCAGTGGTAGAGCGCTTGCCTTGCAGACTCGAGGCCCTGGGTTCAATTCCTCAGCCCCACATAAGCAAAAAGAAAACAGCCAGAAGTGGCGCTGTGGCTCAAGTGGTAGAGCGCTAGCCTTCAGCTGAAGAGCTGAGGGACAGCGCCCAGGCCCAGAGTTCAGGCCCCACGACTGGACCCAAAAAAATAAAGAAAGAAAGAAATAAAATAAAGAAAGTATAGCAAAAATGTTGTTTTAGTCAAGAGTTAGACTTGTTTACCTTGCTTATGTGGCAAACAAAAGTTGGGCTTTTCAAAAACCTCAACAGACAAATAATAGTCTCCTGTCAGCTCATTTAAATATTCCTTTTTACTCAATTGGTTAGTAGTAAAAGAGATGAGGTATTTAACATTGTTACTTTATTTGAAGTCATTGTATATAATTAAGCTTGTGGTGAATTTTTCTTACAACTTTCCTAAGAGACCAGAAGTTAACAGATGGTACTTTTATTACTTAATCATATGCCATGAAAGGACAAGCAGAAGTAGCAAGTCATTTCATTTTTGATTAATACTGTTGGTTGCCCAGAATCCCAACACTTCAGTTTGTTGAACCTGTTGTATTCTACAGAAAACATTTTATGTAAAAAGTATATGTTATAGAATATCCACATGGATTGTGAATCCTTTATAAATACCTCATTTGGGATGTTTTCATATGCTATAAAAAAGTTAGAAACTGAATGAAGCACATCCTTTGTTATGAGAAATTGTGGAAAATACAGTTTGGACTGAATATTGCATTTCCAATGAACATTCAAAGATTATTTAGTTTATCCATTTTTTTTACATTTAAGTCTCTTGATCTATACATTTCTTCTTTTCTTGATAATCTGTTGAAGCCCCAGAGCCATTTGACCTATAGGTCCCTAAGTCTGGAATTGCTGATTGCACAATCATATGCAGTTCTGCATATTCCTCTGTCCTATTTCCTGCAGTGACTGCTAGATCCAAGAACTTGATCAGATTCATGCTTCAGTGTTAAAAAAAAATTTTGGTTAAACTTGAATTCCAAATTTTTATGGAAGTTCTTCCATTTACAAAATGATCAGTACTTTTTTTTTTTTAAGATAACATAGCTATCACAAAGCAGTTTATACCCTTTGGCTAAATAAAACCTTTATCAAAATGATCTGTATTTCTTCAGTGTGTGCTTTTTTTTGGGGGGGGGGTACTGGTCTTAGGCCTTGAACTTAGGGCCTGGGCACTCTTGTGGGCTTTTTTTTTTCTTTTTTCTATCGGTCAGGGGGCTTGAACTCAGGGCCTGGGCAATGTCCCTGAGCTCTTTTGCTCAAGACGTGTGCTCTACCACTTGAGCCACAGCTCTACTTTCAACTTTTTTAGTAGTTTATTAGAGATAAGAATCTTACAGACTTTCCTGCCCAGGCTGTCTTCAAACTATAATCTTTAGATCTCATCCTCCTGAGTAGCTAGGATTACAGGCATGAACCACCAGCCCCAGGCCAGTGTGTACTTTTTTAATATGTTTGTTTCTGTTTTTTTGTTATTGCAAATATATTTTGATATTGTAAGCAATTAAACAGTATGGAAGTTTATGGCATAACTTTTCATCCCTAATTCACTGTCATACTACAAATAGCTACTTTTAATAATGTGGTATATACATTTTATATTTACAGCAGACATTTTCCCTACTTATGTGTCTGTGAATTTCTATGTATTTATACATATATATGAATGTATGTTTCTAAACAAATTATACTCTACTGTCTTATAACTTACTATTTTGGTAATATCCTAGGCATCCTTCTGTGTCATGTATATGTGCGTGTATGTATATTTTATATACATATATATATGCATTCATGTATGTGTTTATTTTCTTTTAAGTTTCCTCCTTATGCAACTAATGAAATTGGCAAAGTCACTGGAGTAAATAGAAGAGAACTTGGACATGGTAAGGACAATTCTTTAAGCTTATATGTTGTTCTTATGGAGACTTAGTACATTTTTAGTTCATTGTTTTCTATTCTCATTTAGGTGCTCTTGCTGAGAAAGCTTTGTATCCTGTTATTCCCAAAGATTTTCCTTTTACCATAAGAGTCACCTCTGAAGTCCTAGAGTCAAATGGTATGGTTGGAAAATATTTCTTCCCTAATAGACCAGATTCCCTGTTACATCCCAGCTTTTTCAGTGTGTTACATTATGTTTATTACTTTCAGGACCCAAGCCTAGCCTGATAAAGGAAAAAAAATTAATGATCCAAATATTATCTTGAATCTCTGTTCTTGGCTAATGAGTTGCTTAAAAAGTGCTGTAAAACTAGTATTTCTCTTTTGCATCTGTTATAATAGATCCAATTTGGATTCATTATTTCTTATAAATAAACCACAGAGAAAAACCAGCTTGGGGAATGTAGGAGCCAAAAGAAGGTGATCCATTACATGGGGACACTGTACCATCACTTACCAGAGATATACAGGCTGATACCCCAGAAGGAAAGTAGGCTAAAAGGTGAAGCTTAAATGATAAACATTCATGGAGTGAGATTATTATAAAGCAAGTATTTTTCTTTTGATAGGATCATCTTCAATGGCATCTGCATGTGGTGGAAGTTTGGCATTAATGGATGCAGGTAAAAGAACTATATATTGGGGTACTTGCCTAGAGTAACTGCATACAGCTCTGCATTTGATCCTCAGTACTGCAAAAAAAAAAAAAAAAAAGCAAAGACATGTTATAGCCAAGTACAGTGGTTACATGCTAACATTATTTTAAGTGGCATTATTACAGGCTCAGTAAAAAAAATGTGATAATTAGAGGACCTGTTAAGACTTTTCAAATTCAGCTTTGATGATTGTCAATCTTAGAAAACACCTTCCCTTACGTTAGAAGAAATTTCAAGAATAGGCACTGATAGTTTACACCTGGGAGGCTGAATTTGTAATGACCAATTTGAGGCACCGGGCAGTAAGTTCACAAGACCCCATTTCAATAATAGCTAGGTGCAGTTGTATACACCTGTCATCCAGCTACATGGAGGCTGAGATTGGGAAGATTACGGTTTCAGACCAACCTAGACAAAAAAATTTGTGACACTTTGTCTCAACAGAAAAAGCTGAGTATGGTTGTATACACCTGGCAATCCAGTTATGGTAGTTAAATAGAATGTTCACAAGCCAGACCAGTCCAGGCAAAAAAATAGGTATCTCAAAAAATTACCAGGATAGAGCCAGTGCTTGACCTGTAGTCATACCTACTCTAGGCGACAGAAATCACAGTTCAAGGCTAGTCTGGAGCATGAGGCCCTGAGTTCAAACTTCAGTATGGCTAGAAATAACCACAGCATAAGAGCTAGAGACTTGGCTTAAGCAGTAGAGCCCCTGCCAAGCAAGAGTGATACCCTGTTCAAACCCTAGTACCACCACCAAAAAATAAGTACTAACAGAATGACAAGTATTCCTGTCACACCGATAACATACAATAATTCTCAAAGCATTTTTTTTCTTTTTTAATTATAGGGGTTCCAATTTCATCTGCTGTTGCAGGTGTAGCAATAGGATTGGTTACCAAAAGCAACCCAGACAATGGTGAAATAGAAGATTATCGTTTGCTGACAGATATTCTGGCAAGTATATTACCAGTTTCAAGTATTTCATAGTGAAGACTATAAATACTTTACAAGTCTGCTTGGCTGAATGTGCTTAGAAGAATATTAGTACTATAAGAATAAAAAGGCCACGGTCCTTTTGCTCCTCAGATTTTAAAGGATATGTTAAAAACATATTACAGTGTAAGTATCCACATGGCTTTTTTTTTTTTGGGTCCGGTCGTGGGGCCTGAACTCTGGGCCTGAGCGCTGTCCCTCAGCATTTCAGCTCAAGGCTAACGCTCTACCACTTGAGCCACAGCGCCACTTCCGGCTTTTTTTTTCTTTTTGCTTATGTGGTGCTGAGGAATCGAAACCAGGGCCTTGAGCATGCAAGACAAGCGCTCTACCACTGAGCCACCTTCCCAGCCCCCTCCACATGGCTTTGAAGAAATAGTAACTTACGAGACATTTCTTTTTTTTTGGATCCAGTCATGGGGCCTGAACTCTGGTCCTGGGCACTGTCCCTCAGCTCTTCAGCTCAAGGCTAGCGCTCTACCACTTGAGCCACAGCGCCACTTCTGGCTGTTTTCTTTTTGCTTATGTGGTGCTGAGGAATCGAACCCAGGGCCTCAAGCATGCAAGGCAAGCGCTCTACCACTGAGCCACCTTCCCAGCCCTTTTTTTTTTTTTTTTTTTTTTTTTAATGGTTGGTTGTGGGGCTTGAACTCTGGGCCTGGCCACTGTCCCTGAGCTCTCTTTCACTCAAAGCTAGTGGCTCTATCACTTGAGCCATAGCACCACTTCTGAGACATTTCTTTGTATTTGTTTTTAGAGGACATGATTTAATCTAAAGTTATGTTTTAGAATTCTTCTATAGTGACTATGGATGAATTTTGTTTAAAACTTTATCATTATTTCTTATATTGCTGAAGGGAATTGAAGATTACAATGGTGACATGGATTTCAAAATAGCTGGTACAAATAAGGGAATAACTGCATTACAGGTATTTTTAAAGTTTATTTTGTTTCATTATAGCAATATTTATATGTCATAAATCAATGGTGATTTATTTATTGCTCTTCTATATTAGGCTGATATTAAATTACCTGGAATACCAATAAAAATTGTAATGGAAGCCATTCAGCAAGCATCAAGTAAGCCAGTTTTTCCTCTCATTTCTGTCTCTTTGTTAGGAATGTCTATAATTCCCATTAGGCTTATTATAAAATAATGTTTTATAAAGTAGAATTTCAGCACTGGTGGTTCACACCTGTAATCCTAGCTAATAAGGAGGCTGAGATCTGAGGATCGTGAGTTGAAGCCAGCCCAGGCAGCAAAGTCACTGAGACTCTTTATCTCCAGTAAAACACCAAAAAAGCCAGAAGTTGAGCTCTGGCTCAAGTGATTACATACTAGCTTTAAGCAAAAGAAGCTCAGTGACAGCACCAAGACCCTGAGTTCAAATTCTAAGATTGGCCAAAAAAAAAAACCCAAAACAAAAAATAGTTGGTTAACAGAGAAGTTCATATAACCTAATTTGGGTCAAGAAGTATTCATTATTGGACACAGGACTACTCAAATGGAAAACCAAAGATTTGAATTTTTACAAATAAAGCAACTTTCTAAGGTAGAATTTGTAGAAGAGGGAATATGAATGTATTTCAAGATAATTAGGATATAGGAAACTTTGATCATTAAGCCTAAAAAGTTTGGATTTTACTCCAGAGAAACAAGAGTACAGTTACTCCAAATCACATTTTTCATGTGCAGTTATAACTTGCACTGTATTTTTATCTCATCTAGTGGCAAAGAAGGAGATATTACAGATAATGAACAAAACTATTTCAAAACCTCGAGCATCTAGAAAAGAAAATGGACCTGTTGTAGGTAAAACATTAAAATTATTACTGATTTCATGATAAAAGTAAATATAAATACATGAAAGTATACTACTACTTCAATTTTTTCCCATACATGAAATAGAAATATTTAAGTACCTTTAAAAGATTTTCAATGTTAGCCGGACGCCAGTAGCTCATAGCTATAATCCTAGCTACTCAGGAGGCTGAGATCTGTGGATCACAGTTCAAAGCCAGTCTGAGCAGGAAAGTCCATGAGACTCTTATCTCCAATAAACCCACTACAAAACCGGAAGTGGCACTGTGGCTCAAGTGTTGGAGTGCTCACCTTGAGCTGAAGAGCTGAGGGATAGCGCCCAAGCCCAGAGTTCAAGCTCCACCACTGACAAAAAAAAAAAAAAAAAAAGATTTTTCAATGTTGTTGGTATATGGAAATGATAAATGTTTCAGAAGATAAATATATTTACACTGATTTAAATATTATACTATGTATCTATGTATACATGTATCAAATCTGGGGGGAGTTAGCCAGACTTTGATGGCACATGCCTATAATTCTAGCTCTTCAAGAAACAGAGATCTGAGGATCACAGTTTGAAGCCAGCCTAGGCAGACAAGTCTGAGAGACTCTTATATCTAAATAACCTGCAAAAAGCCAGATATAAGGCCTGGTCAAGTGGCAGAGCACCAGCCTTGACCAGATAAACCTAGTGAGAGCCTAAGGCTTTGAGTTCAAGCCCCAGTAATAAAAAAACATAAAGAAAAACACTTTAAATTCAGGAGCATATTTTGATTTTTTTTCAGTACTTTTTAATCACTGAACAAACTTTTTCTATCTCATAGTATAAAATATTTTTAAATAGGTCTTACATTCATACATACTTAGTTATATATTTGTTCATACTGCATTTCAGAAACTGTTCAAGTTCCATTATCAAAACGAGCCAAATTTGTAGGACCAGGTGGATATCACTTAAAGAAACTTCAGGCTCAAACAGGTAAAGTTGTATGAAGTTTGGAGGTCTTATTGAATGTACTGTGTAAGTTTGCTATTTGATCTCTACTGTATTGCTCTGAAAACACATATTTAAGAAATATGATAAAGACCAAAAGATATCAAGTATAGTACTTCACACCTGTAATCCCAGCTTTCCTGGAAGTGGAGATCAGGAATATCTTGGTTCTAGGCCAGCCTAAGAAAGAAGGCACAAGGCCCCATCTTAACCAATAAAAAGCTGGGCATAGAGGTAGGAGCCTGTGATTCTAGCTACATAAGATGCTGCAATAGGAGGATCCTAGCAAGAGACATGTCTGGGTAAAAACACAAGACCCCCAACTACCTAGAAAAATGACTAAGGGTGTGGCTCACCTGGTAGATAGGAGGGAGGGAGGGTAGGTATAGAGTATATAGAGTATAAGATGTCTTCATAAAGGAGGGAAGGATGGTATGGAATAGATGACGTGTGTGTGTGTGTGTGTGTGTGTGTGTGTGTGTGTGTGTGTGTGTGTGTGTGTGTGTGTGTGTGTGTAGTGTCTTTACTGTGCGTTTTTCTCTATGTCTTTTTAAATAAGCAAATGATGGTATGGAATAGATGACGTGTGTGTGTGTGTGTGTGTGTATACGTGTGTGTGTGTGTGTGTGTAGTGTCTTTACTGTGCGTTTTTCTCTATGTCTTTTTAAATAAGCAAATGACCATTCTATAATCCCATTACTTGGAAGGCTGAGTCAGGAGATTACAAATTTAAGGCCAGCCTCAAATACAGAACAAGTCATTGTCTCAAGAAAAAATAATGACCAAGAATTCAAGTTTTTTACATTTAAATTTTTTAAAGAGTATATGTAGAAGTAGTTGGTTTCAATTTACTTCTTGTGGTAACAATGTTTAGGTTAGCTAACAGCCAGAGATTTTAGCAGGTTATTCAGAGTAAGAAACTGGCATGATTTTTGTCCCTCATTCATCCATTCCCTCTAAAGGGTAAGAGGAAAAAACAAAGTGAGAAAAGTTGTAGTATAGTTTCTAGTCTTAAGGCAGCGAAACTAGAATCTCAAAAATTAGCCCTGGTATGCTCAGACATTGTTTCACTATTGTATCACTAGGACTTTGTACATTGCCAGATACCTAGCAGGAAAGTAATGTGTGCTTGTTGGTGAATGAATTCCATAATTCCCAAAGTGGTGATTAAATAAAGTATATCCCTACCCATCTGCTTTTGAGGTCCTTCACACAGTCCTCACACTGAATTTTTAGACTAATCTCCAATAGAATTAACTAATATATGTACTTAACCATGAAATTAAATGATTTTTTTCTGTTTGGGGGGGGTTAAACTATCTTTTTAAAAGGTGTAACTATTAGTCAGGTGGATGAAGAAACATATTCTATATTTGCACCAACACCTAATGCCATGCATGAAGCAAGAGACTTCATTACTGAACTGTGCAAAGATGATGTAAGTAAAGATCTTATTCTAACTGCTTTTTCTATTGTTTTTTCTATTTTTGTTATGAACTTTATGTCTTATTTTGCATTTACAGCAAGAGCAGAAATTAGAATTTGGAGCAGTTTATACAGCCACAATAACTGAAATCAGGTAATAGTAATTATGGTTTTTAAAAGATATTACAAGTCCAGTTTAACTTCACATCATAAGGCATTTAGAAGTCAGCTTGCCATATAATCATTATTGTTTTAACTGCAACCTATTTTATTTTTTGTATGCCAGCTTATAGACTTTTGATAATATAATTCTGTGGTTGTAATTGTAATACATTCTTCTAACTGAATTGTTTTATTTAACCAAATTTTCTACTATTGTAATTTTCTAAAAAAAAAAAAAATAAGCAGGCCCAAAATAGACAAAGTAATTCTTTCTTCATTGCTATAGCTCTTGTCTTCTTTTGTAGATATTTTATGTTTATCAGACTTCCAACCTCAAAGGAGATTTTATATGTTAAAATGATCACAAAATCATATTTAAAAAAAACTACCAGAGCCGGACGCTGGTGGCTCATGCCTGTAATCCTAGCTACTCAGGAGGCTGAGATCTGAGGATCGAGGTTCAAAGCCAGCCCGGGCAGGAGAGACCATGAGACTCCTATCTCTAATAAAACACCAGAAAACCGGAAGTAGTGTTGTAGCTCAAGTGGTAGAGCGCTAGTCTTGAGCTAAAGAGCTGAGGGACAGTGCCCGGGCCCAGAGTTCAAGCCCCACGACCAACCAAAAAAAAAAAATCTATCAGAAGGGGCTGGGAATGTGGCTAAGTGGTAGAGTGCTTGCCTTGCATGTATTAAGTCCCAGGTTCGATTCCTCAGTACCACATAAACAGAAATAGGCAGACATGGCACTGTAACTTAAGAGGTAGAGTAGAGCAAAAGAAGAAGCTCAGGACACTGCCCAGGCTCTGAGTTCAAGACCCAGGACTGGAAAAAAGAAAAAAAAACTATCAGAAATACTTAATGACATTTCAAGAATTTTGGAAATTATAAAAGAAAATGCAAGTAAATGTATATTCTAAAAGTTTTTTCTTTTCTTCATCTTTTGATTCACAAGTACTTAAATAGTACTTTGTAATTTTAGTTGAAAAGAATCTAAGATAAACAAAAGAATCTGGGCTTGGAATATGGTTTAGTGGTAGAATACTTACATGGTATGCGTGAGGCTCTGAGTTCATTCCCTAGCACTGTAATATAAAAAAGTATATTTTAAGTAATCTTAACTTTTGTAATTATAAAAATATATAATGAAGTGAGTTTGTGGGGGTATTACTTGCATTAAACAGGTCTATTTCCCTTTTTTGTAGAGACATTGGAGTAATGGTAAAGCTCTATCCAAATATGACTGCAGTACTGCTTCATAACTCACAACTTGATCAGCGAAAGGTAAAATGAAAGATTTTATTTTTTTATGTGCTAAAATAACTACATTGAAATTGCTTAAATTGATGAGATTGTGTTTTACTATAACTAAAGTTCCGAAAACAAAATGGCAGATACTGCTATAAAAGGATTTACACTGTTTACCAGAGTTATGTTTCTCCTTCTGACTTCTTATTTTGTTTTAGGGGAAGGTTTATTCCCCATACCTTATACCAGAGTTTGAGGGTCCTGCACTTGTCAGCTATGCTTTCACAGCTAGCATATTACTACTGCCATGCCTCTACTCCAGCCTTGCTTTTGTACTGGCTATTTTGGAGGTGGAGTCTTGTGGACTTTTCTACATGACTTCAAACTGAGATCCTCCAGATTCTCAGCCTCCTCATTAGCTACAATTACAGGTGTGACCCACCAACACGTGTCTTCCTAAGTATTTTGAGGTAGAACCATGTCTGGAGCTACCACAGAGTAGTTACTACATCTACTGATAGCCACATTTTCCCAGTTTTCTATTGATCAGCCTATCCTGAGGTAATACTTGGAATATTTATACATTTAATCTTTATTATAGTCCATATCTGAAAGACTTAAAAATATGACTACATAGCTGAGTGCTAGTGACTCAGACCTGTAATCCTAGCTACTCAGGAGGCTGAGATCTGAGGATCATGGTTCGAAGCCAGCTCCAGCAAAAACATCCTGGTGAGACTTTTATCTCCAGTTAACCACTCAAAAACCAGAGGCAGCAGTGTGGTTCAAGTGGTAGAATGCTAGCCTTGAGCACAAAGAAGCTCAGGGATATCACCCAGGCACTGAGTTCAAACCCCATAACCAACCAAAGGGGGGAAAAATACATACACACACACATTTATTTATTTATTTATTTTCACAATTAAACACATTAATTTATTCATTCTATTGGGGATTAGTTTAAAAACTCAGTGTGAAGACTGTGTGAGGGACCTCAAAAGCAGATGGGTAGGGTTATACTTTACTTTGGGAATTACAGGATTCATTCACCAGCAAGCACACATACCTGGTAGGTATCTGGCAATGTACAAAGTCCTAGTGATACAACAGTGATAGATAGATAGATAGATAGATAGATAGATAGATAGATAGATAGATAGATAGATAGATAGATAGATAGACAGACAGACAGACAGACAGACAGACAGACAGATGTATAGACATGTATATATACACCTATTTATATGTACATGTACACACATATGAGACTACCCAAGAAAATTATGAGGGTCAGAGGGTAAAACTGTATACAAAAATTATTCAACAAATCACTGGCTATCATAAAGTAGAATCTCCAGTTTGATAAGTAGCCCGGGTCAAACTCAAACACTAATCCTCCTGCCTCAGCCTTTTCTTTTTTCTTTTCTTTTCTTTTTTTTGTCGGTTGTGGGCCTGAACTGTGGGCCTGGGCGCTGTCCCTCAGCTCTTCAGCTCAAGGCTAGCACTCTACCACTTGAGCCACAGCGCCACTTCTGGCTTTTTCTGCCTATATGGTGCTGAGGAAATCAAACCCAGAGACTCATGCATGCAAGGCAAGCACTCTACCACTAAACCACCTTCCCAGCCCCTCAGCCTTTTCTTAAGTGCTAAAATTATAAGCATAGGTATGTTCCACCATGCTTGATATTTTCTTTTCTAGAGCTTGAACCCTGGACTTGGGAGCCGCCACTGAACTTTTTTGCTCAAGGCTAGTACTCTGCCACTTGAACCACAGCTCTACTTCTATTTGATAGTTAACTGGAGATAAAAAGTCTCCAAGCTTTCTTGCCTCAGCTGGCTATGAATCATGATCCTCAGATCTCAGCCTCCTGAGTAGCTAGGATTACAGATGTGAGCCACCAAGCCCAGAAATACTTTTCATTTTTATACCAAAGTCCTATATATATTAGACTTAAGTGTTTTAAAAAATGGCAGGAAATTTAGCCTGGTGCCAGGGGCTCACTCCTTTAATCCTAGCTACTTAGGAGATTGAGATCTGAGGATTATGGTTCAAAGCCAGCCTGGGCAAGAAAAGTCCACAGACTCTTATCTCCAATTAACCACCAGGAAAGAGAAGTGTGGCACTGTGGCTCAAGAGGTTGGTTGAGTGCTAGCCTTGAACTGAAGAGCTCAGGGACAGCACCCAGGCTTAGAGTTCATGCCCCATGACCTACAAAAAAGAAAAAGAGGGGCTGGGAAGGTAGCTCAGTGGTAGAGCACTTGCCTTGCATGCATGAGGCCCTGGGTTCGATTCCTCAGCACCACATAAGCAAAAAGAAAAAAGAAAAGCCGAAGTGGCCCTGTGGCTCAAGTGGTAGAGTGTTAGCCTTGAGCTGAAGAGCTGAGGGACAGTGCTCAGGCCCAGAGTTCAGGCCCCACAACCGGACCCCCCCCCAAAAAAAAAAAGAAAAAGAAAGTAGAAAAAAGGAAATCTTAAATGTGAGTTACTAGGAAAAAAATATGCATATTGTATAATCTTATTTGGGGATTTTTCTTAGTTTAACATTCAATTCAAAAAAATAATAACAGATAAAATTTGACTTCAGGATTTTGTTTTTGTTTTTTCTTCAATACCGAGGTTTAAACTCATGGCTTTACATTTGTTAAGCAGGTGCTGTGCCAATTCAGTTGTATTCCCAATCCTTTTTGGTTATTTTTCATATAGGGCCTCACATTTTTCCCAAGCCAATCTGAGATATAGTTCTCGTATTTACACATCCCATATAGGTGAGATTACAGTTACAAGCCACTATGCCAGCTTTTATTGATTAGGGGTGGGGAGAGAAAGGGGTCTCCTGCACTTTTTGTCTAAGTTGTCCTCCAACTGCAATTCTCCATACCTCTCTTTCCTGAGTAGCTAGAATTACAGGCATGAGTCAGTCTCATTTTTTTATTATTATTATGTGGCAAAAATCACAATAATGATAAAAGACAAGTAAAAATGTAGGGAGAGTGAGCTTTTTGACAGAGATAAGAAAAATGAGTATCGATAGAAAAGTGAGCAAAGAACATGAACATGGATTGGGATTTTCTGTTTTATTTACTTTTTTGCTGAAGGTTGAACTCATGGCCTTTATGCTAAGCACATGTTCTACCACTATTCTACACCAACCTCAGCTGTTTTGAAAGCTAGCAATTTTTAAAAGCACAAATATATGTAACTTGAAGATGGAAATTCCTAATGTGGGTAAGAGAAATGGCCCATTTTTATAAATGCAACATTTATACACTAAATACACATACTCACTGACAATAGTTATCTACAAGTAGCAGGTTTTCAATGATTTTTTTTACCTTATTGTTTGTCTTTTGAGTCCTCGTAATTAATAGAAAAATAAGTATAGCTGTTACCCACTTGAAAAATAATGTTTACTTCCATGGTTATTAGATAATTATGCATAACTAATAGATTAGTATATTTTCTTTCAGATTAAACACCCTACTGCCCTAGGATTGGAAGTTGGCCAAGAAATTCAGGTAACTATGACCTTTTAGCCCTTAAAATATAACTTCAATAATTATTTACCAAAAGTTGAAAGAATAGAATGATAGTGATGTGCTTTATTTATATGCTGCTTCTTGATCCTTGGGGTTAACTAAACAGTTATTAGTAATTCAAGGATTTACAGTTTACCTAAAACAATATTTTAAAACTTAAAAAAATATATGATCCGGGTACCAGTGGCTCACGCCTGTAATCCTAGCTACTCAGGTTGCTGAGATCTTAGGATCATGGTTCAAAGCTAGCCCAGGCAGGAAAGTCCATGAGACTCTTATCTCCAATTAACCACCAGAAAACTGGCAGTGGTGCTGTGGCTCAAAAGTGGAAGAATGTTCTCCTTAAGCTGAAGAGCTCAGGGACAGTGCCCAGGCCCAGAGTTCAAGACCCATGACCGACAAAAAGAAGAAGCCCGGTGCTGATGGGTCATGCCTATAATCCTAGCTACTCAGGGGGCTGAGATCTGAGGATTGTGGTTCAAAGCCAGCCGAAGCAGTAAAGTCCATGAGATTCTTACCTCCCATAAACTATCAGAAAACTGGAAGTGGCCCTGTGGCTTAAGTGGTAGAGTGCTAGCCTTGAGCTGGAGAGCTGAGGGACCAGTGCCCACACCCAGAGTTCAAGTCCCATGACTGGAAAAAAAAAAAGAAAAAAATACATATACATGAGTATATTAGCTGGGCAGAGACACGAACTGATAACTTAGTCACAAGCATTGTTGTCATCTTTGTCATCATGTTAAGACTTTGTTTCTCCATTATTTGACCATAAAAGTGTTTAAACTGGATAAGAGCCAGCTTGATAAGAGCAAATTTCTGGTGCAGGATTGTGATAACAAATTGACCTTTGGCCCTTTTATAGTCCTTTATGGTAAATGGAAGAACTCATTGCTAATCTTAGGTTTCTTGGCTGCCATTCCATTCCAGTTATACTTAATACTTATGACCTGTGTAACTGAGGCACCTAGTTATTCTAGTCTGTAGTGTCATTGTTCAGGTAGGCTCCAGGCAATGAGAACTAAACTAACTCTGTATACGTTCTTTTTTTTTTTTTAACCAGGAAAGGCTTTAAATATGCCACATTTTTCTCTGACATTTATTTTCCATAGTGAAGCCAAATGAATTCTATTGTAGTGTGATGATCCCTTGAGCATTAGTGAAAATTGTAGTTTATATCACAATTATGCTGAAAAAGTCTTTGTCCAGAATTATTCAACATGACTTTGGTCTTTCAGTTTAGGGAACTGAAGAGAATAAAAGGCACAAATGAGTTTAAGAAGATTATAGTAGGATAACTAAATATCTGGTGTCTTTTTTTTTTTTTGGTAATAACTACTTAGCCTAATATTTAATGAATCAATGACTCCCTGTATCACTCAGTGAACAAATAGAAACTTTAATCTGTGCCTTATTTGTACCTTGCAAATCTGAATGTCTTTTTATTTGGATGACAGTGTGTCATAACTTTAAACTGTTTCATTAATATAGGTGAAATACTTTGGGCGTGATCCAGCAGATGGAAGAATGAGACTTTCTCGTAAAGTACTTCAGTCTCCAGCTACAAATGTTGTCAAAACTCTAAATGAAAGAAGCAGCATAGTAATGGGAGAATCTGTTTCACAGTCTTCATCTAATTCTTCCCAGTAACTTATTTTTTTTTAAGACAATTCTAGGGTGATAGTCCATAGAGCAAAATTTTAGCAGTGTCCTCTAATGTGTGAACTTGTATAAATATATTCTAATTATTTTTATTAAAAGACTCATCTACATATGCCTTTTTATTTCAAAAGTAACCTATATTTTCCTATTTTTACTTAGATTATAAATCAATAAATATTTATTAAAAGCCATTTATATATCTTTTTTGGGTCCGGTCGTGGGGCCTGAATTCTGGGCCTGCGCACTGTCCCTCAGCTCTTCAGCTCAAGGCTGGTGCTCTACCACTTGAGCCACAGCGCCACTTCCGGCTTTTTTTTTCTTTTTGCTTATGTGGTGCTGAGGAATCGAACCCAGGGCCTCAGGCATGCAAG